TACCAGCCACAGCTACGGTTCCGCAAGAGGCGTCTGCTTAATGGGTACCGTCGCTTTGATCCCACACGTGGTATGGAGTATATACTGGACCTCGCGCTGGAGGCCTACACCCAGAAAGGCCACAGCCAGGTCATTGCCAAACGAGTCAACCTGCTGCGACCTCTAAGTTCAGTTGAGATTATTCCCATGCCTTATGTGACAGAAGCGACACGGGTGCAGGTCATCCTGCCTGTCACCGCCCAGGATCAGGACTATGTTGGGAACTTCCTGGACATGTACGTGATGAACACTCTGGACACCCATGACAATGTTTTACTCACGTTCTTGTTCATCTACGATCCTTTCGATGCGCAGAGAGTCAGTCAGACTGACGTGTTTGCTGGCGTCAAGGCTATGATTGGGGAAGTGGAGAAACGCTACGGAGACGTGAAGATCCCCTGGATCAGTGTGAAGACCGAGGTGCCCTCGCAGGTCAAGCTAATGGACATCATCTCCAAGAAGCACCCGGTGGACACACTATTTTTCCTGGCCAGCGTTTGGACAGAGGTCAACGCTGACTTCCTGAACCGCTGCAGAATGAATTCCATCAGCAATTGGCAAGTCTTCTTCCCCATCCACTTCCAGGAGTACAACCCAGCCGTCCTCTACCGTGACCAGCAGCCCTCTGCTGCCTCCTCCTCCGCTGCTTCGGAGTCACTGCGAGACGGCCACTTTGACCGGCACGTCTTCGACGAGGCCTGCTTTTACAACGCCGACTACATGACCGCACGGACGAAGATGGCTGCCGACATCCTGGATAACGAGGAGCTCCTGGAAAGCATGGACGTGTACGACATCTTTGTCCGTTACTCGGGCCTGCATGTGTTCAGAGCAGTAGAGCCGGCGCTGATTCAGAAATACGTGCGGCGGACGTGCAATCCCCGCTTCAGCGAGGACATCTACCACCGCTGTGTTCTCAGCAACCTGGAGGGTCTGGGGTCACGCTCACATCTAGCCATGGCTCTGTTTGAGCAAGAGCAGGCCAACAGCACATAGAGCTTGGACTGAAGGACACTGAATGTGATTTTTGTTTCCTTTCTTTCTTTCTTTTTTTTAAACGTGGTACTTCTTGCATCCACACACTGAAATTCTCACCCCTGAACAAGGTGGAAAGAAGTCAGGACTGTTTTTGACACTCCAGCAGCTGCAAATAAACCCTCTGACTTATGACTGTGTAACTTTAAACCTGTCTTGTCCAGACCTGTTGAACCATTACTGATGTTAACGTCACTTTGAGAAGCCGTTACTTGTATTCCGGTCGAACAACAATATTTATAGCCCCCCCTTTTTTTTTCTTTTGTTTTTTTTAAAGACAATAATAAATTAACACAAGCCTTTATTGTTAGAAATGAATAAGAGGGGAAAAAAACTTGAGCCATAAGTCTTCCTTTTGTGAGGATTTTTTAAGTAATACTGAAACAAGCTGCCTTTTCTTTAAACTTTGTGCTCTTTAAGAGGTATTAAAGAGTGATACTTCTGCTCAGAGTTGTTGTTTCATTCATTCAAGCTCACAGTGTAAAAGACTCAGTCTCATTAGACAAAACACGGCGTGCTTGGACAGTTATTCCTGGAGGTATCTGTTGTCTGCTTGGCAGAGCTGAAGAAAAGCCAGAAAAGATTCTGTGGTCAGTAAAGATGGTGTGTTCACATTCACAATAATGCGTCTTGTAGTGTTCTCAGTTTTCCCAAAAGCTGCGTTGCAGAGAGCCCCAGAGGCAGTGAACAGTTTGTTCCAAAGCTGCCTGCTCGTCGCATTAAGTCAGTGAATCTCCACCCCTGCCCGGGCCTCCTTGAGTTTTGGCAAGCGTTCTGCATGCACGTCTTTTTTTTTGGGGGGGGGGGTGAACTCAGTGCCCGGAGGGAGGGTCGGGGTCTGCAGCGGCTGAGGTGGTTAACCTTGACATGGCGGTGGTTAAACGGTCTGAAAGGCTTACTTCACTCACCTTTCTCCTGTCGGCTCGGGAGAACAGAGAAGCAGCAGAGTTAAAGGAGCTCTTTCTGAGACGGGAGCAAAGCTGCAGTCAGCATTACAGCCACTGCTGCAGCTCCCCGTTGGAAGCGCCTCCACCTGCTTCCTCGTGGTGAGGCCAGTGAACAATAAAAGGCCTGTGTGCCACCTCTGAGGAGCGCCTGGCTCATGGAAGAAACGAAACCCACCAATGAGGCAGGGCACAAAGCCAGAGTGTACGGCAGGGCTGTGCATCCCCCCCCGCTTTATTCTGCAGCTAATTGAAGAAACTGAAAAATTCAAAAGGCTTTTACAATGACAGAGCTCACGGAGACTGGATTCCCTGTGATCACGTGTGCATTAGCTGGTGTTTGATTGCAGGGGTGAAAAGCAAATGAGTTCACACAATACAGAATCACTCTGCTGTTCACTAAGCCAGTATTAAAAGGACACTTCACCCTAACATATAATCCATGCCTTTCTCCTCTGCCCTGTAGTTTAGAGTTCTTTCCATTTTGGATGTATCACCTGTAGAGATGTCAGCCTTCTATTGAATATAATAGAACTTAATGGCACTCAGCTTGAGTTGCTCAAAGGGCCAAAAATTACATTTAAATAACTCAGCAGCTAAACCTGATCATTGGGAAAAAAAGTCACAAACCCAGCGGAAGGGACTTTCTTCAACTGCAAGCTGGGAAATTAATAAAATTTTGAATTCAGGTGAAATTTGGTCTTCTACCCATCAACAAAATGACTACAGTGCAATGTTTTGTTTTGCCTCTCAGCCCATCTTTGTCATGTAGCACATCCCTCCTCACCAGGCTGTGGCAGCTTTGCGTCACTTCATATTTATCCATTGGTTTTTTAAAATGTTAATAATATTGATTAAAGTTCAAGGAAAGTCCAGATGATTAAAAGGCAAGTTTTGTCTTTTATACAAACTCTTTGCCTAATCATCTTCTTCCTGATGTTTACCTCTGGGAGTCGCCACGGCAGATCTTCTGCCTCCATCTCACTGTAGCCCGCAGCTCTCTCCATGTCCTTTCACTACATCCGTGAACCTTCTCTGTGGTCTTCCTATTTTCTTCCCACCTGGTAGCTCCATATTCAACATCCTTTCTCTGATATATCCACTATCCCTCTCCTCATGCCCAAAACATCTCAGCCTTTGTCTCCAAACCAATGAGTGAGTTTCTACGCAGTGTAACCGATACGGTTTCACTTATCTTTGAGCCAAAAAACTGCAGATGGACCACAGAGTTGAAGACTTTTCTTCTAACTCCAAAAAGCTATTTCTATAATTAAACGTTTAAGTAAAACCCTAAAGTCTGAGAGCTTTACGGAGTCACATGCTAAACTCATCTCACTAAGTAACTTTTGTTTCACTGCACTCAAATGAGCTCTAGTCACCAGATCAAGGATGTGGTGGGGTCAGGAGATTCTGATCATGGCTGTGCAGCACCTGTGTGATGCTGTCATGTAACCATGGACCAAACATGTAAGGAATGTTTCCAGCACCTTTCAGTGTGGAGTTTCCCTGCTCTCCTGGTACTCCGTCTTCCTCCTTCAGTCCAAAGACATCCATGTTAGGTTAAGTGTCAACTGAGTGTGAATGAAGTTATTAAAAAAAAGACACATTAGATCTCATGTCATTTACAAACTTTGGCAAGCGCTTCTTTATTTACATCCAGGCTGTCTCGCAGTGTCACAGCTGTTTTCCCTTTTTTTTTTTTCTGTAGTATGTAATCACCAAACAAGATTTGCTCTTTACAGATATACAGCATTATGTATACTATAACCTTCCTGTCGGCGACCCTCTGACAACAGTGTAAACAGAGAAAAAGAGCAGCTCCCGCTCTTCGGGAACACATGCACGGATCGAGACAGACATGTCAACAGCACACCAGGGTTTAGTGACAGAAGACACAGCAGTTTGTTAACACTTTTATCAGACGCTGCTCGAAGCCGAGGAGCTGCAGCTCGTAGATTCCTCCACAAGAGGGTGCTAGTGAACAGCAACGTGAAGGCCTCGGCCATCCAAAGAAAAACAAAATCATAATAATAATAATAAAATTTTTAAAAAAAATCACTGGGTCAGACACAGGACCGAGATACTACCTATGACTACTTTTTCTCCTCTAAAGAGTGCAGTTAATATAATTTAGTCCTAGTAACAAAAACACGCTCAGAAAAGTCACACCTACAGTTAGTTGCTGGTAGGGTATGTTGGATTTTTTTGTAGTTTTTTTTTTGGCAAAAAAGGTTTTCAGAAGGCATTTCAACAAATGTGACGGGTCTCGCTCTCGTCACACACACACACTCACACACTCACTGGTATGCCAGCTTTTCATATTTACACAGACCGTCTCGCAAGGTGTGATAGTGATAGTGAACGTCCATGGAGCATGCATAGGTCATCGTGAAATCGTCCAATCGCCTTTTTGAGTACGCTGGGATGATAAAAGGGGTCTCAACCGTGACGAAGAGAGTCCCGACAAAGAGTTACAGCACAGTGCAAAGAAGTCCCCCCCCCCCAACCCACCCAATCTAGAAACTGCAGAGAAGAAAATCCTTCAGCCTGACATTACAACATATACATACAACTCATGTGTCATTTAAAAAAACAATAACAAAACAAAACAGGTGTAACATGAGAACGGTGCAGATTATATCACGAGTTACAGCTACTGAGACTCAGCGCGAGGGAGGGCTCTCTCTCTGTTGCAGCTTCCAGCTCCCACGATGCACACGGGATAGACCTAAAATAAATCATCCCGAACCCAAGATAGTACACAGAAGAACACTAGCATTCCTGCCCTACTAACTCAAAACTCATGGAGCTCCCATACTGCAACACCCCCTCCCGAAATCCTCCAAAACAAACACACACACACGCTCGCACACACACGCGCACACACAGATAGTCTGTCGTATACTGTACAGCTGGCCCTCTTAAGGGGAAGAAAAAAAAAACATATTTACATTCACATCTGTAGAAAAGAAATTCATTTCTCTCTTTTTTTTTTAAATGCGTGTGTTTGTAACATAAAAAAATGCAGAAATAGACAAAAATCCACAGAGCTGAGCTTAAAAGTTCACTGATGCAAGAGTTCAAGAGTTAAGGAAAGCTTTTGGGAGCACTTTTTCTTTTAAATACTCTGGCGTGTTTGGATTTATTCAGTCGTTTCTGTTAAACCCAGGTCTGGGATTTTGCCAACGTCTGTTTCAGTGATCGCTCTCTCTTCTCGCTGCAACCTTTGGTAAAACCTTCGGGACGCTAACGGGCAAAAAGTACGACGCGACAAAGAGGCAGTGAGTGACGGAACATTTAGAGGCGTATCTGTTTCTCTATGATTATTATGTTCAGGATCAATACTGTTTGTTTGTTTTCCCTTCATCGAAACACTTATTCTTACTACAGTATAAACAGATGGAGCTGATAATGTCATAATACTTCAGTTTGGTTAATTTACTGTAAAAAGAAGTCTTTTTTTTTCTATTCTTTTTTTTTCTATCCACACCTCTGGTTTACGTGCAGCATCCTGTGCAACCACCCGGTGCGTCACGCTGTCGTCGCGACTTTGCTGGTGTAATTAATCGACAATTGGAGCACGCTCTCCCCCTAACGAGGACAAAGGAAAAGCACTCTCTCCAAAAAGAATACGAAAACAAAATAAAGACTCATCCAGAGCAGCCGCGGGGCTCTGACTGTGTCAGCGGGTTACGTCATGAGCGTTTGTCACTGCACAGTCTTGAGACGAGAATCCGAAAACACAGTGGCGTGCGAGCAGCTGGTCGAGAAGGAGCTTTTCTAGTGACGTTTATTTACAGAGCGGAAACTGGCGTCGTCCTCCGAGGGGATGGATCCACGCTTTCAACCGCGATGCCTTCGCAGTCTTGCGCTAACACGGGACGTGGAGGAGATGGGGGACCACAGTACGCTGCTGCTGTCTGGTGAACCCCTCCTCTGGTTACACTTCAAAACACAGCTATGAAATTGATTAGTCACCTCTGAGATGAAGCCTCCTTTAGACTGTAGAGGTTTAAGGAATCACCAGACATCAGCAATGACCACACACACACACACACACACACACACACACACACACACACACACACACACACACACACACACACACACACTCTCTGAAATCAGACTCAGGAATCCAGGAGGGCCTCTTTTGTTTAGGTGTTGCGGACCGCTAAGGCCTGTTCCAGCTCCTGTCTCCTCTGCTGGATCTGTCACGGGGAAGAGCAGAAGGAGGTAAATCTGACTGCTGTCATGCGAACATATGGAAGCAGAGCTTGCAGGTAAAGGTGTCCGCAAGTCACCTTGCAGTAGAAATAGCGGCTGACGGCCTCTTGGGACCAGGGTTCGTGGTAGAACGCCGCCCTCCGCTCCTCTTCAGGGTTCCCCACCACGTCTGTCATTAACTGCGGCCGAAGAGACGACGAAGCCGTTACAAGCAGGTCTATTTTTAGCATTAATTAACAAAATAATCTATGAAGTCTGCAGCGGGCAGCGATCGAGCCGCTTGTTCTCCCGATAGTTCATCTCAAAAACTGCCAAACTGAAGCCTTGAGGGCACTCCAGCTGGGTTTGGGCTTTTAGTTTGTGCATTTATTGCTAAATAGTAATTATAGTTATTAATTGAATAAAGCAAATGAATACCCATTAGTGCAATTAAAATGTCAGCCAAAGACAAATCATCACTATTAAATGACCCCCCGCCCCCTTTAGTTTCTTTAATTTTCATTAATGAATTCTTCTGCTTTTTATTTTCCACTTTCATTCAACATCCACAGGACGTCTGTCGGCTAACATGCAGGCTTGATAGATATGAAAAGAAGTGTGCAACCTTAAAGTCTCGGCTCTGGGATTTGAGCCAGTCCTGGATGTAGCCCTTGGGATCTCTGGAGAAACTCAGCATGAAATCCCTCTGGATCTTCAGCTGATTGATGGACTCGATGGTCTCATGGATCTGAACGGAAACACACACATCACACGTCACAGCGCTGTTGCTGTTTGTTCATTTGACGCTGCAATTATCCTGTGAAAATGATACAATATCTAGCAAGAAAAGCAAAATATCTCAGGAAAACTGACTTTATCTAACAGTGGGAGGAGGACGGAGACTTCTGATCCGAAGCTGCCGACCTCAGCAGCACAGAGGCTAACAGCAGACTGAATTTTTCAGTGATTTATCAAGAACTCACAGATGACAGCAATGTCCTGGGAATAAATGTGAAGGACCATAAAATGTGGGGGAAAGTTGAGAACAAATAAGTTTGCCTGAGAAAAAAAAAACCTGACCATGACAAAGAGCGGGAGGGAACAAAATCCCAGCATTTGTTTGTGTCGTGGCAGGCTCTGCATATAAAGATCCCGAAGTCTAACCCACCTGGAAAGGCGAGTAGGGTAAATTTTCACTGATCTGCCTCAACTGACTCGTGACATGCTGACAGGTATTCTCTTGTATTACAAGTTTTCTTGAATTTTATTGATCAAATATAAAACCGAGGGAATCTAAACACCCGATAAAGGCGAAGGATTTTACACATTTTCTTATCTTTTTAAAATTCACCATTTTAACCAAATTTCTGGTGAGTTTAAAGGTACTTTGGTGTATGAAGGTGGCTCGTGATGTAAGAAAAAATACACACTGTATATAAAGGATGGAGGTAGTGTTCATTTGTTAAGTCTCAAGTTGAGTGTTTCTAGCGTTAACCATCTTTGCGAACACTGCACGCTCTGGACTCACAGGGTCCCAAGTTAGTAGTCGTTTCACTCTGATGGGACCGTAGTTTTTCAAAATAAAACCACACCAAGTTCAACCTGGTCTGCAACCTGCGATTGAGCCCATAAACTTGTGTGGAAGGTGTTTACTGAGACCACAGATCAAGTGGGAAATAACACTGACTTCTCTGCAATAGCCAGAGGAGTCGCCCCCTGCTGCTCATTAGGAAGAATGAAGATTTAAGCACCTTCACTTTTCACACCCAGAAGCTTCATCCATCTTTTCGGACTTTTTGGGGAAACGTGAGTAGTTTTTAATGTGTGTCAGTGGGGATGGTTTTTCTATTCGTTTCCCCAAATTTATTGTTGCCTATATTTGGAGTTATGGTTAGCTTTCGAGCCATCACAGACAAACGTGAGAGTATTTTTACGCTTTAAAGGTCAAAATGTTAAGTAAGGTAAAATGAGAACCATAACTCTGAAAACAAAGCAGGTTTTAAATGTTGATAAAAGTGTTGAATTTTAATATCAAGGTCATAAATATTTATATTTTCTTCCTGCTACAGAAACATGTGACACCAGCACCAGGGAGTTAACTCATTATTCATGATTATCCATCCTTCAGTGCTTTTACAGGTCACTTTAATTGATTATTTTACATAAAAACATACCGACTCGTGCTGACTCGGGCCTGTATTTGATAATTCTCTCACTGGTATGTCTTCTGACACTCTACTTGGTATTAGAAAAATGGCGAATTAAATTAGGTGAACACGGAAATTGATCCATCCATCCACCCATCCATCCATCTCATTAACAGCTTGTCTGTTTCAGGGTCGCTGAGGAGCGGGAGAGTATCGTAACAGCTGTCACTGAGCAGGAAGTTAGATACACCGTGGACAGGTGACCAATCCACACGGCCAGTTTAGAAATATCATTTTACCTAAAGTATGCGTTTGGACTGTAGGAGGAAGCTTGAAGACAAGAAATCAACTGTGTTAGTGGAAATGCCGTTTGCAAGACTTGCATCATGCAGTATCAAGAGCATTCTCAGAAGTTCAGAAATAGGTTCTCTGCTATTATTAAGATACAACAACTGTGCAAAAGACTTGACTCACCTATAATTTCTTGGTACTTTACTTCTAAGGAGCCAGACTTTCTTATAATGTTTAAAGTAATCTCGAGGAAAAGCTCTCCAGCTTTCAAGTCTTTCAAAGGTTTTTCTTCAGGCATTTACTGCCATTTCACCCAGTTTCAGTCCAATTCTTGTACCTGAGCTTTTTCATAGGAATTTCTTTCCCTTGTTCAGCCACTTAACACCGACTTATGAACCAATCAAGCACAAAAAGGCACCAAAATTTACTGATGTTGTGTCTACCCATAACAGACAACTGAGCAAAAAGTCCATTTTAAATGAGCAGCTTGTCATAAAAAGACATATTTTGTTTCCATTTCTTGAGCTGCAAAAATGCCAGAGATACCACAGCTTGACAGGCATAAAATAGGATTAGCTGAAAATTTAAAGAAACTGGTGGAGGACAAAAGAAGAAGCTGTAGGAATAAAAAAGTGTGTGCACGTTTCAATAAATCCCTGCACAAATTTCCATTTTTCAAAATAAAGGAAACGAGGGGTGACTCAAGGCTTTTGCACAGTAATATATAAAATGGCTTTAAGCTGGACAAAGAAAACTGGGTCTCGAGCAGCAGTACATGTTCTCAGTGTGTTTTCTGTCACGTGTATTTCTGGTTATTTGTCCCACCCTTCCTTCCTGCTCAGCTCCAACAACAATGTCGGCTATAAAGTTAAAATCTGTCAGAAAAATATAAATAACAGCCTTCGCGCTTATCACAGCTGGGTGAGAAGTCCACAGCAAACAAACTACTGCAACAATAAAACCGTTCTCTTTGTTAGCTTAAAAGTGAATTATTCCCAAACTTCAACCACACAGTGTGTAACACGAAAGAAGACGTGTGCTATACAGAGAAAGAGTATTCTGCGACGATGGTGATCTCACCTTGTTGTCGAGTGAGGCAATTTCCTGCTGGTTGGCGGTGGAGAGGAGGAAGCTGCTCATCTGGCTCTTCAGGGGGTCGTCCACTTCCACGTCAATGTCGTAGCAGGCCGTCTTCTTCTGGTCGTTGGGATCCACGCTGAAAGAAAATGTGAAGTGAGACACATCTTTAAAAAGAGGAAGCTTTCAATAAATCCACTTGGGAGTCCTCAAGTCCGTTCAACACATTTCCCAAATTAAGAGTTTATTTTCTTATTTTTCTTTTGTGTAGAAAACAATAACCTCCCATAATAAGCTTGCATCACACATCCCATTACTCTGGTGTGAACTCACCCAGTAATGGTTCAACATTGTTTGGCCTTAAAATATTCTTTTTTTAAAAATGGTAAATGATGCCGTGCTTAATTTATTTATAATGAAAAAGCCAGTAGGAGGTTTCAAGGTAAACACATTTTCATACTATAAAGCTATTTGAATTTAATATCTCTTTAAATAGCATCTTTCCTGTACTAATGCAAGGATAAATATGCAAAGCCTGGTGTAAAGATGCTTCTCAGTTAGTACTTGGTTGCGTTATTTATCTTCTGTGATGCATATTTCATACAGGGGGAAAATCTACCTGATAACGTGGTTGATGACGATGGGGTCAGGGGGCAGGAGGAGGTTGGTGAGGCGCTGAGGGATCTCAGAGAACTTCAGCCGAGGGCAGTCAAAAATCTAAAAATAAAAATAACTTTCCTTTTAAAGTGAACCGGTTATGCTTCTTCCTTATTTTCTGACATACACGAGACAGACCGAAGCGTTGGACCACCTACACATTACACATACAGGAACTTTTATGACATCTCGCTCTAAATTGGTGCTCCCTTTGCAGCTATATCTGTCAGTACATGTGTCCACTCTTTTAGGAAGCCGGTGGAAATTTCATCCAGAAGAGCATTTGTGAGGTCAGACAGTGGTGTTGGACCAGAGAGCCTGGCTTCCAGACTCCATTCTAATTCATCTCAAAGGTGGGCTCTGTGCAGGCCAGTCAAGTATTTCTACACCAAACTCATCCAACCGTACCTTTACGGACTTTGTGCACCGTCTCAGTGATGCTGGAACAGACAGGGACCTTTCTCAAACTGTTCCCACAAAGCTGGAAGAACAGAGTTGTCCAAAATATGTAGGTGAGGTGAAACAATAAGATTTCCCTTCACTGGAGCTTAATTGATTTATTAGTCGGCTACTGGGTCTCCAGCTTTCTGTGTCCGCAATGGAGTTGCGGACACAGAAAGCTGTGTCCAGGAGGTCTGGAACCTTGTTTTGAAAATTTTATGCCAACCAGAAGGGAGAATTCGGGGTTACTATTACAAACCTATAAGAAAATAACATGAAATTGAGGAAGTAACTTGAAATGTTGAGTTACTAAGTTGAAATCAGGCTGCCAGAAAAAAAAAGTAGAACATATTATGATGAGGGCAGGAAAACCTATGCCATGAAGCGCTCGGCACACAGTTCTTGTGCTGATGTTAATGCTGTGGTTCCTAAATTTTTCCACTTCGCAACAAAGCTACTACTTTTTTCTACTCTTGGCTCTGTATGATGTCATAGCTCGTGATACTCCACCGACAGACTTAGAGCTAACATGGAACAGACTAAATATGAGCCTTATTAAAAGAACCAACAAATCCAAAGTCTAGAGTTAGTCCAGAACAACTGGAAAAAAAGCCCAAACCATAAAACAAAGCGCAGGAATGCATGGTTGGAAAACACATGATCCCACAAAAGGGAAAAAAGGAAAACCAGAAGTAAAACAGGAACAGGAAGTAAAAGCAACATAAGACACATGAGGAAAACTAGCTTTAAAAGCAAACCAGAATAACCCTACCTATGACAGAGACATGAAAGCTAACACTAAACATAATGTCAGAGAAAGGGGAACACATGGAAAAGCTACTTTCGTAGTATCTAAGAATAAAAATATGGAGCGCTCATTTGTTCCTCTGCCAAAGCGAGAGCTGAGGTGGAGGTATGTGATTGCTGCTGTTTGACTACCCAGAAGCTACTGAGCCAGATTTTATGAAACTATGAGAGCGCACGCAGAGGAGGAAGCAGTTCAATTATGGTGCTGATCCAAATCCCTTTCCGCAAAACTGTAAGATAAGACTCCTGCTTTGGTGGAGTTTATATACATACTGCTCATCTTGCCCTGGTGCGATCATATTTTCAGCAACAGCAGGAGTCCACACCTGTTGGAAATACTTGTCACAGTTGATGTACTCCTTGTCATGCGAGTCCTGCAGCTTGTTGGTCTTCACGTACTGCCAGAGGGCCTGGATGATGCAGGAGCGAGTCTGAGTGTGAATACCGAGCAGGCGAGCCAGGCGAGGGTCCAGCTTAAACTGGGGAGGCTGCGGAGACAACATAATCACATTACAGCACTTTCTACAGCCGCCCACATCAGAGGCTTTACATCAGCTCCATCACATCATTCACCCTTATCGTATTTTCCCGGCTTGGAAACAGATGTCAGGTTTAAATTGCGTCTTACATGGACTGTAATGTTTGTGCAGGCCGGTGTTTATCGGCAACGTGAGGCCTGCAGGTTGTCACTACAACAGCTGATTTCAAGGCACGGATTAGTCACGGCGTAGTAACGGACTATTTATGGGCATCGAAGCGAGACGGCGTGCCGCCCTCACCTGGTATTCCAGCATCAGCAGCAGAGTGCAGCGCACGCTCACGTCTCCTGGCCGCTTCACCTGGAAGCCGTCCGTCTCCTGGGTGGTGGGCGTGCGGTGCCACTGAAAGAGCAAAGAGAAGGCCACAGTTTGACCAAACCAAACTCAGCTGGTTTATTAATCATCGGCAGCCTTATGAAATTTCCCCTTGTGGGACTAATAAAGGTATATCAAAACAAATCAAACTACCAGACGACTGAAGTATTCCTCCGACTTCTACTATAGAGCCATCATGAAGTTGAAATAACAATAGCAGATTTTTGTAGGCATAAGAAATGAAAATAATGTAGTTTAAAAAAAAGAATTAAGTTAACATGTGCAATGCCAAGGAATGGTCCAGATTTCATGAAAATCGTTAAAGGATGCCTGTGAGAAGCGGTGGAAAGAATCTCTTGTTGACTTTGGTTTAAGAGAGGACACGAGCTGTGCTGCATTAAGGCTGGAGATCACCTGATGACCTTTAAATCTATTTAAATGAATTAAATGTTATGAAAATTACACCTAAGCACTTTTACTGTAACACGCACATACCGATGAATGTATCAGGGGCAACCTGGGGTTCAGTATCTTGCCCACGGATGGTTTTACTAGAAGAGCTGAGGACCGAACCACCAACCCTCAGATTAGCAGACATACTCTACCTGAGCCACAGCTCTTGTAAGCCACATCCTCAGGCATGATTTTGTGGGGTAGTGAAAACTGAAAACTGAAGAGCCATAAACTGCAGTTCCTCTAGTGACCACTTGAGGGTGTCTCCAAAAGTTTCTTGCGCCACAGAAGAAGAAATAAACACGTTTCCATGTTTACCGTTTTGGCCTCTATAGACAGTTTCCCCCTCACAACAAGGTAAAGGTGAATTTTTTTTTTTTGCAACTCATCGACGCTGATAGTGGAGTGGAGGGTTTTCTTTGGCCAGGCCACAGATTTCCCTCTTGGGGGTCCAAAAAGGCAAAGCTATGCCGTGGGTCAAACATGGGCTAGCATACACGGGCCTCATATAAGTTTTCTATGGGTAGTGCACACTGGGTTTGCCCATAGAAAACTCATTTCGGGGCCCCCAAGGGCAAAACTGCTGTCGGCCCTGTGTGGGTGCATGCAATTGGGGCCCAAATGCAAATGTGCAGAAAACAAGGATGTTTTCAGTGTTTAGGTCATCTAACAGCATGTTTTTTGGTTTGTTTTTTTTAAACAGAAGCACTAATTTAGTAGGTTAGTAGGTTAGCTTAAATATCTGCAAACTAACCACGCACAAGACAGAAAGGGTGAATATTATCAACCTCTGGAGACATAGTAACATCTATCGCTAGCAGAAAAATTCCATAAGCACCTGGTCACGTGCAACTATGCCAATATTATTCTGTCTTTAAGTCGTTTTTGCATTTCAGAAGCTCTTCCGCATCTAACCTCTGATGGTATTTACATCTCTGTTTTACTTTAACCACTCAGAAAAGAAAAACACTTTAACACTCAGTCTTGCAGTACCCTGGCAAGCAATCCAAAGTGATGTTTTCCTGCAACCACTGGCTGATTCAGAACACATTACGTGCTTATTTTACCTCAAGGTAGAAACAAAATTCTTTTGATTGAAAGTCATTCAAACAGAAGCACCTGGGCGCCTGGGTAAAACACCCTCTTAAAAAGAGGAACCTTGAGAAGTCATAATTTTCACTTTGAAAGTCCTGAAGTGTTTTTTTTTAAGTCGGCACATTATGTGAGGACACAAAGTGAAGGGCAGCTAATGGTTGTTTTTAATAAGTAAGCAGTTGTTTTCTCCGGCTCTCGCATGTTTAAACAACCTTGTGTGTTGGAAATTTTAAAAACCCATCTCCTTTCTGCTGTTACAGAAAAGAAGAAGAGAGAGGGCAATCCACTCTGCCACTCTGTTTTAGTTTGAATGCACCCAACGGGAATATGAAAAGCAGCAGGTCAGCTGGGCTTATTGTACCACGAGATTTAACCAGACGTGACAAGATAAAAATTTTCACTGAACATCTCTGGACTGCACGACCAAGAGGTCGTCACTGACCCTGACTGCACGGCTGAACGGGGAAGGTTCAATGATTTCTGCTACGCATACAAAAGCCTCACACAAATCAGTGGAGCTTCCAAGACTAATGGACAGCAAAGACCTTCCTTTGTTCTGCTGTGAACGTTGTCCAAACTGGCTGAGAAGATTAAACAGCATTAGAGTTCACTTCAGAAAACTGCCTCAGCTTTGAATTAGCTGTCTTGCCAACAGTTAGACTGATGCTTTTCTCACATTAAGCCTCTTATAAAGGTAAAAACAAGCCGTTCTAATGATACGTTATTAATCAACGACATGAAAAGTCGGTCAAAGATGGCAACCACAAAAAACCCAAGCCCATTTCTAATTTGGATTTCAAATTTTTGCAGTGTTTGCTATCTTTACTTCACTGTCTATAAATATAGCGTCTGATGCAATTGCTCACTTTTTACCGCAAACCCTCGTCCAGCAAGCCTCTCGGCTATGAAGAGAAAACCCCCACTTAGTGTAGCCACACATGCCTGGGGGTGTGACCTGGCCTGTCAGCCAATCAAATGTGCTGCTTTAATGATGCTGGCAACTTCTCCATCTTTAGCCCGAAGCAAAAGCACTGTGTGATCATTATTAATCAACGGGTTCTTGTAGTCCTTGTGGAGTTTCATCGGAAATTGAATCTACACTGTGACTGATATATCAGCAGGCCGATATTAGTTATAAATGCTGATAGATATATCAGTATCAGCATTTATAACATAAATTCCAAAAAGACGAGAGAAACATCCTTCAACCGTGTTTTGAGTGTTGATGTTGCATAGTTTGCCCACCAGAGTGCCCTCAGGCTCTAGTTTCATCATTTACAAATGTGCTACAAGGGAGTATTTATCTATTTGCATTGTTACTAAACCACAATAATTTAAAGAACGTGCACATTTGGACATCTTCAACTTAAAAACCAATAAAAAAATGAATAAAGAAAAACTAATTTGTTGCATTTTATTGACTTTCCAATGCAGTCACGTTCAAAGGAGTAATTAGTGGAATCCTTTGAATGCATTTCATTGCATTTTAAGGGACAAAAATTTGAATTTTTCCCACATAAGGAAATTAAAATTAAGTCTTACATGAAAAAAAGTGATTTATTGTTACAGGCGGTCGTGAAAACAGGATCCAAAGAAGTTTGTGTTCATAATCCAAGCTTACGCTTATTTGTCAGACAGCACGCTGAACAAATCTGTTTTCTTATCGACACACTGCGCTGCAGCTAAGAAACTCTGAGCTGTGGTTTTCAGGGGTTGTGCACTGGACTATTTCTTGACTTCCTGGTTGCCTCATAGGTACAAACTGACCATCCTTTTCTGTGTGTTTTCATTTCAGCTACTGAACGTAAATGAGCTGGGTTCACTAACAGCTTAACTATATTACAGAAAGTCAAAAAAATCATTAGGTTTTTATTAGAGGTGCTCTTTAACCTATAAAATAAAAAACCCTCCAAGCTACAAATCACTGTGTAGTGAATTCACTGTGAGTGTGAATTAGAATGTTATTTTGACACACAAGGAATCATGGCTATAAGAAAAGCCTGCTATCCTTTAGTTTGATTTCACTCGTATTGATCAGACACCTATCCCACATGATCATATGACCCTTCAAATTAAAAGCTCTGACTTTTAAATGAACTCCGAGGGCCTTTAACTTGGAAAACCTCATCATAAAAAGGTAAAATTTTGCATTTCATCATTAAATTGACGTTATTGTCAGGTGGGCAACACCGATTGACCGACTGACTGATTGATTTGTAATAACTATACAGGGTTGAGTTATTACTACAAGTTTTGTAGAGACACACAACACTCTGTGGTCTCTAGTGTTACCCGCCACGGTCAGGTGTTTATTTTTGGTAGCTGCCACATTTGACGTAGATTCATCATAGCAGTGCTCGACATTTTTAGTTAGCCTTTTATAACTCAAAGTGTGTGTGAATAACACGTTAAATACACCTGTGCTTACCCTGCTATGACATGTCAAACAGCCTCCAGCAGAAAGGAGTGTATTAGGGCAGACTGGGGAGGTTCAGTTAACAGAACGTTTTCACAGCAGATGTTATCAGATATCTTCTGGTTTGGATTTGCTGCCATTTATCCAGATTACATCGCTCAAATTGAATGAATCAATCAGTTTAAAATCTGCAGGATTTATTTAAAGTGTCAGTACATTATATGTCTGTTATTTTTGTCCTTGTGGCTATAAACAGATGCTTGCTGTGCTGTTTGGGGGTAAAAAGCTAAAATGGCTTCTTAAAGGCCCTTTTTGGTAACAAGCTACTTGGTGAGCTGCAGGTCACCTGAACGCAGCGAGTAACAGCGGCGAAACAGTGCATATGTTTTTAAGGACTGCAATTACTCTTCACACACATTCGAAGAGAAGCACTTAGGCTCGTTTTTGTGTGTTTTAAGTGACACGCTGTCTGCCAAGGGGTGCGAGAAACAACAGCTAAGACAGGAAGCGAATTCGTTCAACATCCGAATGGTCTGCCACAAAGAGAAGCTGCACACATGCACTCCATAAATCAGGCGGCAGGGACAGACCGTTTCGAAGTGTAAGGACTGTGAGTGTGGGGGTTGTGTGTAATGCTGCAGGTAGTGTTAACATCAAGCAAAGCATGCAAAACTTGTAGATCTTTGCATGGCAAATACTTTTAAATTTTAAAAGTTAGGAAAATTACTTTCCAGGGAGATAGATGTGAAAAACTGAACTGTGTCTGGCCGATGTGGGTGCAAGAACAGTGGCTTTTCTTAAAGGAGCCGTTTTAGTCCAAAATCATATGTGCACATTTTTCTTCTGGCCTTTTTGTGCCGTTTGTTTGTCTTTACCGTTCTGGTGCTCAGCATTGGTCTGGAAGCTTGTTTCCTCCACTGAAAAACACTTTTCCCCCATCTATGAGTCAAAATGTTCGGGCGTCTTCTTTATAAGTCAAATTTTCAACTTCTTTCTCTGCAAGTTTGAATTAGTACGTTGAAATTTTGAGATACTTAACCCCAAATTTACACTTACAGATGGCACAAAAATGTGTTTTTCCGTTGAGGAAATATGCTTCGATAGCTTTGGAGATACCTCCACACACATATTACGTATTCATCTTTGTCTTCATTTGTATTTTCTGTTTTCATTTTTGCACTCTCACGGTATAAGGCCCTCACACTGAGCTTCTGGCACTTTTATTTTAAATATGTTGTTTAAAAAGTATTCTAGACTGCATAATTTTTATGCAGTAATAAAGTACCTATATACCAATTTAATTTCCTGCTTTATTTTGAAATTCCTTTTCTTGTTTTATTGCTGCTCCTTCCTTCCTGTGTCCCATCAGCTAATTTACTCAGTGAATGTATGCATAACCTTACAGCTCAAGCTTTAAAGTTTCAGTGATTCTGTTGTGCACGCTGACCTCTGTTTTCTCCTTTGCTGAATTTTTTTCAGACCCTCTGTGCAACCGCAACCCTGATCAACAAAACTGAGATGTGGACTTTTATCCTGTGTACCTTTAAATCCAGTTTCCAGTCCATTATTTGGTTCAGCCACTACGCTGCAGAAAAGTCTGCCTTGTCTTGAATATAATGGAACTAAAAGCCCGCTACCTTGTGGTTTAAAAGTGCCAGAAAAACGTATTTTAAAAACTCAGCAGCAGTAATGTTCCCACACAAACTCTGCAACACTTTCGTAGGCAGGCACAGAGACACTTTCTCCAGCATGTGTTTCAGCCCTGAGGTCACAAGGACAGAGACATAAAGACCTGCTTCACAGCCTTTGTTACATTTTTACACGTTTATCTCATTTTTGTAACAAATATTCCATTTGCATAACTTTCTAAATCGTGTAACACATTAATATAACAACTTCTGGGTTTTCGCCTGCGTCCACACTATAGTTTCAGTCGTCCACATTTAAACGGCCGAAAACGCCTACGTTCCAGTCCTGCGCATGCGTGAAATGCAAGACGATTCGACCTGCCTCATTTCTGTCTGCCGTTTATAATGCCCTTTGCTATCTTAGTTTGATTGGTCACATGACTGCATCACATGACTAAAATGTGTCATAGTTTTCGAAAAAGCTCCGGGTTTGCTGTCCACACCGCGACACAAAAACGGCGTTTTCGAATGTATCCGCTGTGGAGAGCGTTTTCAAAACGCAGCGTTTTCCTTGACCGAAAACGCCGTCTCAGTGTGGACGGACGGCCAAAGCGGAGAGAAAAAGATGCGTTTTCAAACGAAAACGTATTAGTGTGGACATGGCCTCAGGGTTCAGTATCCTAGCCAAGGATACTTCAACATGCAAACTTGACCTCTGACCTCGATCTCGAGTTCACTGAAATAGACACTAATACTACCTGTGATTACAAAAAATACATAAAAATCATAATAATAATAATAATAAAGGTGTAACCATGTTTATTTTATCATTATTAATATATGTTTTACAATGTTACTGGTACAGCGATGTTACCGTGAGCGCTGCCTGGTGATTTCTGGAAACCGGCCCTGACTCTGAGTTTTTCTAATAGACTTTTTAGGTGATTTGATGACCACAAGGTGAGTACCATCTAGTTTCATTATATTCAAGTGAAGCTTGATATGACTACAAAACTCACACCAAAACCATGCAGGTGGATACATTTCGATACAAGCCAAAGGAAAACACGTATATGTGATTTCAGGGTGAACTTCTACACGAAAGCGGACACCACACACTTTTAGAAAATCAGCTTTCAGGTTTGCAAGGTTGAGTATTTTGCACTTGAAAGACACTGGGGACCCTTTTGAAGGTGAACATCTGTTACATTTAAAATCCACTGCAGTAGAGCAAAAAGTGTGTTTTTACTTTCGTGTTTTGTGCAGGTAAAAGTGTAAAATTAAAGCTGCTGTTCATCCATTTATTGATCTGAAAAATGGATGATTTCTGAGATCAATGCAAATTCCGCAGGTGAGTGTGTGGTTCCTCCTCTGTGTTTTGAGCTGACCTCGACCAGGTGGTTGTCGGGACCGTACAGGTCTTTATCCAGCTCGATCACCAGGCTCTTGAAAAACGAAGAGAATTTCTTCTTCTGCTTCCCCGGCTGCAGAGCAAACAGATAGCAATCAGAAAGACGTCGGTTAAGACCCATAATCAGTCACACACATGCATAAGCAGATTCACAAACGCAAACTACTGTTGCCATGTCTTTGCTTATAGCAACATTACTCATCAAAAACCCACGAGAGGCGGGGTGAGATCAGAAAAAAGAAAAAGAAAGACGCAAGACATTCTCAGAGTCCACTTCCTCCGAGCTCAACCAGAAATATTTGTGGTCTGTGAAACCTAAATGCTTTGTGCCGCTGCTCTGAGAACATCAGAGCTTTTTGCAGTCAAGCTCGCGGCACAAGAAAAATGCAAAAACCTTCTGCTTTTAAGACACTCGCGGTCCCTCAAGACGCTCTTCTCAACATCAGTCGTTCATTTCATATTCTGAGCCAGACGATACTTTTCTGTCCGTAGTCGTTTGAGCGCATCATTACCGAGCCGAAGACGACCGAGAGCAACTACGAGATCAAAGAGCGGCACACTTTAATACCAACCGGGATGATTTAGATGTGTTATTATTTTAGAGGACAAGCAGTTATTTGACTCATGCTGAATTCATCTACACCCAGCCGCGACAGCTCAGTATTCAGTTATTTTCCTTTAAAAAAAAAAGGACTGTATTAAAACTAAACCCATGCCTGACTATGAATAAAGCAAACTCACATCATCCAGCAACTTCCCCTCTACTCGCAGTTCCCATGACGCAATGCTGCCATCAGAGTCATCTGCGTCAGGTCTGGCAGGGTTGAAGGTGTTGGAAATGTAAAGCCTCAGTTTACGCTTCTGCTGCTGGGACAAGGGCATGACAATAACACAGTTTAAAGGGAGATCTCTGTCTGTTTCTCCTTGAACTGCAAAACTATCCTTAAACAGCATTTTCTCGTTTGTCCCGAGTCCTGATTTCTTTTCGATACCTTCATTGGCCTCTTCAGGGCCTCCTGGATGTCCACGCGTTTGCGCATGATGGTCTGGTCCAGTTTGCGCTCAAATGCAAGCAGGTCCATGTAGGCCTGAGACTCAGGGACCAGCTCACGGATCTGCTCAGAGGGAGGACAGGCTTAGGTTAAAATCAGATAATGTTTCACACCCTGGATTAAGAAGTAAGATTTTCTTTGCATATCTAAATAGCACTAAAGAATTTAAGCTGATAAGCTGTCTATTCTGGTGCGGGTGCTGGTAGGGGGTCTGTTGTCTACTTTAGCCCCTTACATTCAGTATCCTGTAATTTAACCTTTAAGAAGCTTTAAGGTTAGAGAAAAAAAACCCATATTATTCCACTCTAACTTTAAATATGGAGAAAATATGGCTATATGGCTAACTGCTAGCATAGAACAACACTACAAAAATGAGAACTTTAAACAAAGCCTCCAGAAAATACAGCTAACTGCTAGCGTAAAACAATACTGCAGCTTATCATATAAGGTGATAAAAAAACACACACACACAAATGAAGATAAGAATAGGTGGGAAAGAAATAAAGTTACCAGATTATGAAAAACAGCAATAATGCACTGAAGCTAGTTAGCTAAGCGAGTGAGCCCACTTGCAGCTAACGCTAATGCACGGTCATTCTAAGGCTTTAAGTATCAGGACAATCATCTGGTCTTTATCAGTTCTTAAGATTGAAAAAATACAACCTTAGATGACCAACACATGACTTGTGATACATTTTAATTATTTATTTAACAAAAACCCAAAATGGAGAAGCAATGTGTGAAAAACTAAGTACATCCCATAAGTCAGTATCTTGTAGAATCAATGTTAGCAGTGATAACTTGAAGTAACTGTTTTCTATATAACAGTTATCAGTCCATCATATCCTTGTGGTTGAATTTTGGGCCACTCCTCTTTACAGTGTTGCTTCATTTTAATGAGGTTTGCGGGCATTTGTTTATGCACAGCTCTCTTAGCATCCATCCAGGACATTTTAGGCAAGTTGGGGTCTGAACTTTGACTTTTACAGCACCTTGAGTGATGATGTTAAATTTGGCTTTGCAAATGTAACATACACAGAGCACACATCCCAACTGTCTGAACCTCTAAATTATTTAAAAAGTATTTTACATTTTTAAAAGGTTTGTGCACTATAGGGCTCTTTTATATGAAAATTAGCAAGTACGATTTTTTATTATCTGACTGTATTTGTACATAAAGTTGGCATTTTTTAGAGTACCTAATGTGTTTTATAAGCGTTTCTTTTGCAAACGAACTGAAGCTGAAGTTCATTATCCCCGCTGAATTTGAATTGAGGAGTGGCATGACAATGAAATATTCAAACAAAGCCCAACTATCCTGAATGCACTCCACCACTGCTCCACAGTCTCTCATTATCGTGGTGGTCCACACCAGCCTCGTGACACCAGGGGATCAAAATTAGATGCAGGCCGTGCAGCCAAGCAGCCAGGAGTCTCAGGCATTACCATACTGATGAAAGTCCTCGGAGCATCAAGGGCTGCTGCTCACCAAGCTGGGCACACATGCTCCTACGGTTCCTCCCTCCCTCTTCGTTCACGTTTCTTTCTAAAAGGCTGCCTTCATTGTGCTTCTCATTCCTTCTCTATCTCCATCTCGCTCCCTTTCACCGGGCCGAGGTGCCGAGCTGACGGAGGAGTGTGGCAGACATTCCCCGTGCCTGACTCATTATTGTGTAGTGGCGCCCCAGCTGTGCCTGCAGCTATCTCCCCGTCTGGGCTATGTCAGGGGATAAGACCTAACCTCTCAGTCTCCAGATCTGTAAAGCGCTCTGTGTGCTGGCCAGGACATGGCATGGCACGGGGCCGAAAACCGAGAGCACGGGATGCAAACCACAGCCGGCACGGACTCTCACCTGTGGCAGCATGGTGTTTCTGCTGCCTCCTTCAGTTTTACTTGTGGTTGCGTCTTTTCAACATCCCGCTGACTACGCCGATTCAAAAAAGAAAATCAATGAGCCGCTGTCCAAGCAGCAAAATGAAACCCTAAAAAAAAAAAAGCCCCAAAATCTTCAGATCTGTTCCCCTCATCCTCCCTCATCTCATTTGGAAATAACAAATAATCACCTGGCCCTCTGCGCCTCCCAAGAACCCCAAACATCAAAAAAACGACCGGGATTTTTTCTGTGCAGCGCACAAAGGATAAAAAACACACACAGAGAAAAAACACACAGCAACAAAGGTAAAAATATGCAGCCTCACCCTTTGCGGAAGAATCTTGTCTGCCATTTTCCTTCTCTTAGCACTAGAGAGAGAGGGAGAGAAAGACAGGGAGAAAGAGGGAAAAGAGAGCATGTTACTATGGTGACTGATAGCGTAGCACCCAGGCCATCTGCTAAAATGCTGGGCCATATCCAGCACCCCAGCGTCCCAGCTGTGTGTGTGTGTGCGTGTGTGTATCATGTGTTTGTGTGTTCCCTGAGATGGAGCGGTACACCTGGAGAGCGAGAGCCTCTAACAGCCAAAAAAGTGTCACATCTCTTCCCTGACATGTATTCACTGCACACACACACCTTCTGCAGAATCGCTGAGGCCGCCGCCGCCGCTGCAGGACTCGGATGGTGACAGGATGTGTACTCACGACTTTTCAGGATTTATGCGTGTGTGTGTGTGTGCAGCTCATTAGATTCATTAATTCCTTGCAGCGTGAACACACTTCATATATTTTACTTACCAAGAAAGGGCTAAGAGCAACAAGAACATCTGTGCCAAGTTGTCAGAACTTTCTTTCCAGGTGACGCTGATTGCAAAAACATCACTACACCTTCCTACACCCCCCCAAGATTTCCTTAAATATTTAATCATCTCCCCGTGTAAAGTGCTCTGTCGTCGATGCCTGCAGGAGGACGCTGCCTAAAAACAACAAGACGGCACTACACAAATAAAGAAATAAACTCGTTTCATGAGGACGGATCATTTCAACTCACTTTTCTCATTAAAGATAATAAATAATCTTGCCTTTAGGGTGTTACGTCCTTGGGGCGATTCGATTAATTTGTAATCTTGTTTTAGGATATCGAGAGCTAAACTGAGCTTTTTTAAAGCCGAATATTTTGATTTGCTTCCTTGCTAAGAGTTACATTAGAAGATGGAGTGGTAAATATAGACAGCCGGGCTTTGGTTGAGATTAGAAACAAGAAAGGTTCACTAATTAACCACACTGTGCTTTTATCTCTCATAATCAGCTGTTTTCTGTTTATTTAAAGGCCTTTAAAGTGCACTATTGACCCCTCAATGACCCCTCAAGTTCATAAGTAAAGGAGGTATCAACCTGAAATGTTGAAAAATGGATTTAAACAGTTAAAACCAGCAACTAAATCAATTTTACTAGATTGTAGATTTATTAGATACTTAATTAGGTAGCAGGAGCGGCCGACATGAATTCAATTTATTTACACTGATCAGCCACAACATTAAAATCACCAGCCAAAACAGGTTCGGCCCACCGGGTTACAGACAGTTGGTGTCCTGTGGGGGTTTGGCACCGGGATCCATCGGGTCCTGTCAGTTACTGGGTGGAGGCCGCTGCCGTTGGGGAGTGCCCACGTCAGGTTTGAGTTTCATGGCGTTAATGTTGTGGTTGATTAGTTTACACTGTGATGACATTTGAGTTTCAAGGAAACAGTCCAGTAAGGAATCAATTTAACAGATTAAATGATTAACTGATCACACAAATCTAAGTACAGATTGATTTTTCCATAATTACATGAAACTTTAAGAGTTTAAACACTACAGGATCTCTGGAACTTTGCAGTGTGTTTTGAGTTCTCGCCCAGCTCTCTCTGTGGGTGGAAATTTCTCTAGTTAGTTAGATTATTTTTTGTATCTAGAAAAGATTTTTTGCAATGTAGTGAATTTTTCTGTCACAGTGCACTACAACGGTCTGTGAAGCAGTATGTTACATCAGCATGCCAACTACTGAAACAAGCCTGCTGCAAGGAGAATTGAAGGATCCGGGAGTGCATTGGAAAGGGGAAAAAAACAAAAGAAACACAAAACAACCCGCCATTTTACACTCTCTTAAAATGGTTTGAGACTGGATTTCTATTCTATTTATTTTTCTGCTCTAGCTGCACAAAACCGTTCCCATCATGCCATGCTCCAGCCCAAAGCATGCACCACTACATTTCAGGAGTCGGCTTCTACGACCTCTACGTTTGTTTTCTCATTCAGGAAGTGCTGGGCTCAGGTGAAAAGGCAAGAAGGAAAAAAAAAATAGGCCAGAGTCATCAAACGAAAGAAAACGGACATGCAGCAGAATAAAATCCTACTTTGATCCGAGCGTGGGATCTGATTGGGGCTCTCTCATGTCCATCTGCCTCGCCGGCATCTCATTGGCTCCGGGGAATCCGACTGGCTTCCTAAGAATTGGTGAGGATTCGAAGGTTGTCCGATTAGAGTTGTGGCGAGACACACACTCAGTGGCAGCAAGTACGAGGGTAAACACCTGGTGGTTTTGTGTGTGTGTGTCTGTGTGTGTTGGATGTGTGTGTGAAGTTCAAGGGTTTGTTAGTAGGTGCAGACAAGGGCAGGCACTGGGGATGGGTAACGGTGTCCATGCATGCACAAAGTGCAGCAGGGGAGGACCTGGGAGGCGTCCTGCTCGTCTGAGGGACACGCTCATCCAACAGTTTCTCAGTGAACCAAAACAATCATGCTTCACACACAAAGACAGACAATACACTGATAATGAACACAATGGGAACAGACAAGCAGCGTGTGGTGGTTTTACCTCTTTGGGTTCAGCTCAGGATGGCCCTATGGTGCATACATGGTTGGTGATTTATGGATAAATAAGAGCTTTTTGTCATTTCCACAGCCAGAAAAGTAGCTCCTGACCACAAAACTCAGCCTTTTTTTGTGCATAAAACCTCACAATCCTCCTAAGCAACATGAAGTGTCCAAGGTAACCGTGCGTTATGAGCAGTGAGGAAAGTTTTTACTTCAAGGACCAACATTAATAGGAAAAACCAAGGTTCGGGGGTTTATAAGTAATGTGGCACTCAGGGGAAATAAGAGATAAAATTGAAGACAAAAAAAAAAAAACCTAACCAAAATATAGCAGGGTGTGGATAAAGCTGGGGTCTGAAGAACAAAGAGGCAAAGCTAGAGGAGGGAACACGGCACGTAATCTTTAAATCTTCTATTTTACGGCTGCCGGCAGTGGTTTCAACTCTCCTGGGGCGGAGTTTGAGGTGCAACACTCTGAAATCAACTGGAAGCTGTCATTCATTCAGAGGATGTATAGAGACGATGCAGTTCTTTATCTTTGTGCTGCTTTAAAGTGGAAAATCTATTCCAGAATGAGGTTTGAGCCTATTTTTGAGGCAATGGTCAAAGCAGTAGTGGCCAGCCAATCGTACATTACGTCATGTTGCAATATGCGAAGTGTCTGTGGCGAGCAAACAAGGTTTTTTTCAGTTGTGGTGCAACAAAACAAATGTTTCCCCTTTCTGAGAGAAACGGAGCAGAAACGCACTCGCAATACTCAAACGTGGGATTCTGTATTTTTTTCACACTATATCATTAATATACAGACCATAGACTGTATATAAAAGATGGACGTAGCCAACCATTGGATGACACTTCTACTCGAGAGCTATCATCCTGGACAAATGAGTGTTTTGAAGCCAGATGTTACGAGTGAGTGGCAGAGCTGACTTCTTTTCCACAAGCACCCACTCAGCTCAACTACACTCTACTGGACTCGGTTTTGATCATTTTCCATTATAACTGAGTTCCACCTCAATGTGGCTGTGGTCACAACAAGACAACAATGGAGGACATCGTGGCGCCATCATTGGCGGGTTTGACTCTTGTGAAGCAGTCAGTCTTATGACTCATGACTCATGAAGTGACGTCACTGCCTGGCCAATCAGTGGCATGCAGTCTGCTGGCGTCACATTTTCAGCTCAGAAACCCGGCTGCATAGGTTATAAAAAAGTACCAGTCGAGTCAAGTAGGTGAATGATGCAGTGACTTGTCAATCATGTAGTAGGCCCGCCCACATCCTGCATTTTGAGTCGACTGGAGACCACACTAAACATGCGATGAGTCCATAAACTCATCAGGAAGGTGTGTTTTTAGGTCATAGATTCAAGTGAGCTTTCTAATAGACTTTTATAAAACAAGATTTCTTTTTGCAACCACATAAGTGGCTTTTTAAATGCTGGCATGGAGAAAAAATCCAGGATTAATGCACTTCTGCTTTGACTTGACTTTTTAAGACCTACATCCAATTTTGGGGGGGGGAGAGCCCACCAAAAATACATCAACAGAGTCACAACGTTAGCTTATGGTGTGTGTGTGTGTGTGTGTGTGAGTTAAATTGTTCCTTTCTGGGTCCAGGAATTTCCAAAAATATGGCATCTAGTGTGCAGTCACCATGTTTAATTTAAGACAGATTTACGCTTTTGAACTTCATGCACCATATAAGTGAGAAGTTTACACCTACATGCTAGTTGAAGTACCCGAATTGAGACATGCGTGTGAGTTACATATAAAGATAATCTGTCCTGTGGTGCTTCTTCACAAACTTTTTAGGAAAATATATACAGACTTTCTAGGACAAAGGGTTGAGTATTTATACCAATTAATGCAAAGTATTTGTAGCAGGACAGCGTAAGCTCTGCAGAGCACGTGTAGCTGGGACCATAAGGTCTCAATGACACTGCAAACACAGGTGGCCCGCCCTCGGCTGGCAGCAGCAGCAGCGTGGAGTCTGCGCTGGATGGAGGCGCCGGACCATCAACGCGTTTGCCAGAGGACGCGCACTCCAACAGAGCAACAGGGAGCGAAAAAGACAAAGACACCTGAACAGGTCACCCTGCACCATTGATCAGAGCCTCCACAGCCGGCTGGGCTGCTGTGGGGGTTGAGGCCTCGATGCAGTGCAACATTTCCCCTGACCTGTTCGACAAGCCTGCTAAATTATAAGTGGATCAATCGTGCTGCACGTAGCAGGAGAATGAAACAGAGGTCCACAGAGTGTGCATATTGATCCCCTTTCTAATGACCAAACCTGGCACGCACTCGTCTCCTTGTAGTCATGAAGCTACTCTGTGAGCCTCTGTGTGTGTGTTTGTGTAGCCTTGAACTTTTCTGGACATTTCTTGGAAGGACCTGTATGTGAGATCATAAATGTCTGAATCATTCGGACCAGAGGCGATGCGTGCTAACTCACTAACGGAGATTTGCCGCGTTAATGCGGTTATGGCGTTAACGTCATTTTAATGAGATTAACGCTGACAGCACTAATCCAAATATATCTAGATTGAAAGTATATCACTTTAATTTGCAGCAGTGGGTTTATTTATTAGAATTTCTATATAGTAAAACGACGTCTATGCAAATTAGTAAGTAATGGTTTCAAATAAACAGAATAGAATACAAAGTGCTACAATTGCACCCAAAACAAAGTGGATTAAAAGCAGGTGCCACCTGTGGTTAACAGGACTAAGCTAAACAAAGCATTTCCAGTAGTAAGTAAGTAGTAAGTGTGAACAATTTCCTGTTGTCTGCTACATGTGCGAAAGGGCAACGACAAACAAAGTGTGAAAACGAACCCGTCCTCTATTTCATTTGATGGCAACTTCCACTACAGTTGTGGAAGAGGGGGAAGCACGAAATTCGACCTGTTTCGGAAAGTAGCGAAAACGAGCCATACGTGGATATTCAGCGTATCGCTGTAGCACAAAGCGTTTGCATGGACAGATCAGCTCCGTTTAGATTTAACCATGTGCGTGTCAAATTACCGTAACTCGTCACTATTTTGGGAAAGAGAGAAAATTAAAATTGAAGCAGAGAGAATGCTGCTTAGGTTTTAAACAGAAGGTCGTAGGAAGTAATGCACAACTACTGCCGGAGGGTGCTGGTAACGCACCTGGAAGCTATTTGCAAACTGACATCAAACAAAAAAATAGAGCAAGAACAACTTAGCTAGCAGAGGGCGGACTTAGAAAACGAATAGAATAGTTAATGCTAGTTACATTTTCCTACTCTAATCACTTTGTTTTATGAATACATGCGTTAAAAGCATGACAAGACACAGAATACATGTTTCTCATACATCTAATTAGAAAAAGCAACAATATGCGAATAAATTCTCCCAAAGCACTTGACGTCCTGCTTAGTCTCCTGCACGTGGCTCTCTCTCATCACCGTCTCCTTCACTGTGGGTATGTCTGCATGAAGCCTCGAGGAACATTAATGTAAAAGTGACCTATGTGTGAATGTCAAATGAAGCCTGCAATGTTACGTATCCCGGTTTGACAGTAGATAGCGTAAGGATAAGTCAAAGAGACTACCAGAGTCTGCAGACAGCTGTGAGGACGCCACGTTTATGCGATGGTAAAAATTTACACTACAAAGACGCTGAAGACAGCTAGAGGTCGAACCGAGAGCCAGCATTCAGCAGCGACTGTGATGGTGAGAGTGGATGTATACAGCAGTGAGCGAGGCGAAGGATGCAAAACGAGGCGAGCAGCAAGAGAAGGGGAAACGACATGACATGGAAGCTGAAAAGTGACAAACACGCACAAAGGTCATGGTTTCACTCGTCACCGGTGGGATTTTTAAAGCTGGATTTGAAAGATTTTAGGAGATCACAGTACGCAAATGTTGACGTACACGTTGGAGGTACTTCGCTAACATTTTTTAAAACGATTTCACGACTGTTAAACTATGTCGGTGTTAACAAAATAAAAAATAAATAAACAAAGAAATCACATGATTCATGTCTGATCTCCAGTCAAATAGTTTCAATTTACAATGAAATTAAAGAGAAAAGCAGCAAATGATACATTTCATGATGGCGCAGCTAGCAGTTATGTGGTGTTTTTTTGGTTAGTTGCACTAGCAGTGCAAGTCTGCGGCGTGGCTCAGTCCCCCCACTTTTTATCACGAGCCTTTCTACAGTTTTTTTTAAGGAATGCAATGAAATTTCATGCAGTCATGAATCGTGATCACTTTAAGCAGCTACGGTAGCCAACATTTGCCCAAAGGTTGAGCATTCAACACCCTCAACCTGTTGGCAACAACTTTTAATCACAACATGAATGAAAGGGTCGTCTAGTGGGAGGCAACCTGTGTTCAAAGCAGGTCAGACTCGGACTGACTGCATTTACTTTCAGACAGACTGGCAAAGTTTTGCAAATCATTGCTAATTGCACCCTTTGGTTGCAACTCGTCTGCAATATACGTTTTGCAAAAAGGGACTCGACTCAACTGGTTGCCAACCAGTTGTATTCTGGTTATTCCTTTATAAAACTACTGTTGTTGAGTGCCAGTTTCATGTTACAGTTACACTGGCGTCCTGCAGCAGCTACGTCACTATTTATGTGGGAATTTCTGAAGTTCTTTTTCAAATCTCTGAGATGGACAAACCGGACTCTGAATGCAAGAAGTCAGTGCAAAATTAAATGGGATTTTTTGTGTACGCAGACTGTGACAGGTTTGTGATTTTCCATGTAATTTCTAACCTGACCTCATTGAAATGGAAGCTGATAGCACGCGGACTCTCTCTTATTGCCGTACTAACGGCACCAAAGTTGCTTTGGAAGCAGCATCTAGACTGCGAGTGGTCTCAGACCTGGTCCCCATCTCCAAAGCAACCACTTTAAAAGCAACAAGATTGAAAATTTATTGCATGTTGTTGCAATAACTTTTTTGTCAGTCCTAAAATATAAATAAAATAAATTTAAAATAGGTTACAAGTATAATATACATAATGTTACATAATATTAAGACATTTAATTTAAGATATAGAGTTATATTTCAGATTTTTGTAGAAAAATCTCTCCTTCCCATTGTTAACGCACACTTTGATTATCATCAACATCTCAGGAGAATCAGCTTTTCCCAAATTTTCATCCAGATGAAAGTGTAACCACTGTTGAGCTCTTAGATCACATAAAAGCAGACACACAAAGGGTCACTGATTGCACACCATGCAGTGTTTTTGGCCGTTGTAGGTCACTTGGATTGAAACTCACTTTCTGGCACGGTTCTGGACGGCCTGCTGCTGCTGCTGCTGCTGTTGCTGCTGCTGCTGCTGCTGGACCTGCTGGGAGGGGGCAGGCCTCTTACGGCTGGGCTCCATCACTGGGGAGGGCAGGCCGGGCCGCACCGCCGGGCTCCCTCCGTACGGCGGGCCGGGGGGGCCCATGGGAGCTCCCTGGTGGGGCATTCTCGCTCCAGACGGCATGCCGGGACGCTGGAAGGAAAGAGGAAAGACAGAGAGCATGTATTATATAGAAAAGATTCTGAACGTGTTTTGTAATTCATTTTTAGCAAAAATGAGTCTTTCTAAAAATACAACAAAAACATAGCACTGTTTGATTCCAGGTGGAGTGAAGGGGGGACTCTTCTTTGAACACGCCTGACAAAAACACGAATTAGAGCTCCAACAAAGAGCTTCACATCAGCTTCTAATCCAGACGCCACAGACCTGACCCAAAACCCAAACAGCACGCTCACAGAAATAAATATTTTGACTTTCTTCCTCTCTTTGGCAACCTTTGATAACCTTTCAACAATCAAACAGCAGCGGCTTTTACGCAATTTATTGACGTCAATTTGCACCATTTCTGTTTGTGTGTGTCTCCATCCTGGGCAGCGGACATGAAGATCAAACCCAGCTGTGAAGCTTTAACTGCAGCGCCGTCTAATATTGGATTTGTTAGACGGCAACAACAAATACAACAGCGAAAACGTCAGATAACCACAGATCAGTCACCTTAAAAGGAACCTGTTATGCTCATTTCCAAATGTTGATTCTTGGACGTTGCTAGAGTAGCTTTGCATGATTCAAAGCTAAAACTAATCCTTCTTTATCTTAAACTGCACATTGGTGCAGCCCATCAGTTCATCCTCTATGAGCCAACTTTCTTCTGATTGGCTGCCCCTTGCAAACAGAAGGTTTGAAGGTGGGGCTGTGTGCTTGAGATTACCATATTAATAATAACAGGAGGCCGTCTTGACCCCATCTAAGTGCCTAAATGTATCGAGCAGTTGAACAGGTGTACCTAACGAAGTGGCCACGAGCGTATATGACAGCATATACGAAAAACAGAACAAGTCCGCTTTAAGAAAACAACTCTGATTACCAGAAAATATCAGAAACGAGAGCAGCTGCAGTGGAAGAATCACCAATATCTTGTTCTTTCCGCCTTATCTTTTCTCCTCTAAACAAGAATCAGGGTTGGCAGCTGGAAATGAGAATGCACAGAGGTTTTTTCACAGCAGTCAAACTCTGTGACACACACACACACACACACGTATGTCTCCGAAACAATGCAAGCAGTGTCGGAGACCACACTCCCGTTCTGACGCCTGCGAACAACTGGGCACCTCTCACCTGCGCCTGTCACTCCCATGGCAACAGCTGCCTCCCGCCTCGGTTTATTGTCTGAAACCGAACAGGGCAAAAGAAAGCGAGCGAGAAAAGAAAACGCCTGACTTCATCCAGACCTCCGACTGTCTGTGAAGGGCTCCACCAGAACACGTCCACAGAGAATAACCAGTCCTCTAATTAAAAATTCTATTAATTGAAATCATCAGAGAGGAAGAGCGGAAGAGGAAGACGGATGCTGGAATGGAAAATATCACAGCAGCAGCATTTTTAATAGCCGGGAGATGCTTTCCTTTATGTGCGTGTACTAAAGCCACCATAGAAATAAAAGCAGTAGTTCCTGTAATGCAGCGATCCCCAACCTTTTTTGCGCCACGGACCGGTTTATGCCCGACAATATTTTCATGGACCGGCCTTTAAGGTGTTGCGGATAAATACAACAAAATAAAACTAGTACCGGTACCAAAAAAAGAAAATTTATTCATAACACACGTGAAAAGACCAAGGAAAACCGAGTAAACGATAAAAACGATAACAAAATAACGCTGAAAACCGATAAAAACCCTGAAAACCACTCATTTCACACCTGAGCCTCAACTCTTGCGGCCCGGTACCAAACGACTCACGGACCGGTACCGGTCCGAGGCCCGGGGGTTGGGGACCGCTGCTCTAATGGCCATATGAGGCTTGGTCCAATGTGGGATGTTAAAACGCTCAACTTTAAAGCATTAAAAAGCATTTTCGCAGGGTGGGGGGCACAAGCCAATGTACTCCTGATAGGGATAGGGGGAGATGGAGGCAGATGGCCTGCTGTGGTGAGAGGAAGCAGGAAGAAGACGAAGGTCAAGAACAAAAACAGTTTTGGTCTGCAGTTTCAAAAAGTTGGAATTATCTGACAATTTTTTCATGGTTCAGACTTCACAGAGGGCCCCGATGACATTTTGTAGAGTCACCATTTTTATTTGTTTCTTTAATTTTGTCCGTAGCGTCATGGCCACTTCTACTGGTCACCATTTAATATAAATTTTACCTACAACCTAAAGCAATTATTAAAACATCGAAATTAAACATTCTTTATTTTAGGTTGAATTACAGTTAAAGTTCAAATGAATCCATTATGTTTTCCACAGTCTCTGAGTAATCATGTGAAATAATAACAACAAAAATAAACATGATTATAGGTTTTTCCCTAATCAGCCACAGCATCTGTGTCCCAAAAAAGCTGCATGACTTTGTTCGCATTGCTTCCTTTATAATAAATGCTTAATAGTTTCACAGAGAGTGAGAAGTGATTCAGAACTGTCAAATAATTTTTGCATAACTGAGTTCCTATAATGAAAGATTGTTTTATTGATGTATTCTGAGGTGTCAAAATAAGCGATTAAGGGCACAGGGAAGGTCGTCAAACGTCGTGTTTATCAGGGAAACACTTGCTGCAATGGTTAGCAATGTGAGGCCAAAAATCTGTACTTTTATTTTATTTTAGGGAAAATAAATAACAGTTTTGAGGAGCGGTAAAGGTTCAGTTCGGCTTTTTTTTCCCCCCTTCCCAGAACAGCTAATAGAGTTCCTTATTGCATGATATTATTGGGCTGAAAACTGAGGACATCACTTCACCTTTTTACTAAAAATAATCTTCTGTGTGCTCGTAACAATAACTCAGTACTCCATGTAGCCTACAACAAGAAAAATTCAAATGTTATTAATAAACCGCTCGTCCTGTGTTCACATTGTGTTTAAACACAGCTTTAAATCATAGCCTCACTCGGTAAATGTAGCCGAGTAAAAGTAAAATGTTTCTTTCACTTTCAATGTGGACACTTCATTAGGTACACCTTGGCAGCAGAGGTTGGACTCTCTTTTCTTTTCTTCAACGAGGCGCTGGAAATATTTCTCCGATTTTGGTGCCTGTTGACATGACAGCATCACACAGCTGATCTATTGGACTGAGATCTGGTGTCTGTGGAGGTCATGAGTGCAGTAACCTCATTGTCATGCTCAAGAAACCAGTTTGAATTGGTTTGAGCTTTGTAACATGGTGTGCTATCCTGCTGCGTACACTGTGGTCATACATGGATGGACGCGATTAACAGCAATACTCAGGTAGTGACAAAGTGTGCTAAGAAAATAGTTCCCGCCGATCACACCAGCAGCAGCAGTGTAAACTGTTGATACAAGGCAGGATGGAGCCCTGCTTTTACATTGTCACCAGATTTTGACCCAAAAGTCCAGTTTTGGTGAGACTTTGCAAAATGTAGCCTCGGTTTTCTCCTCCCAGCTGACACGAGAGCTAACCAGTGTGGTCTTCTGCTTCATCTGCTCTTCTGCGTACCTTGATTAGAACGAGTGGATATTTGAGTCACTGTCGCCTTCCTCTCAGGTCAAAGCAGTTCAGTCCATTCTCATCTGACATCAACAAAGCATTTTCACCCAGAGAACCGAGGCTCGCTGGGTGTTTTCTCTTTTCCACACTGGCTGTGTGGGAAAATCCACAGCAGATCGGCAGTTTCTCCAACCGGCACGAACAACCACGCCACCTTCAAAGTCCCCTACATTCCCTTTCCTCACTCCGACGCTCAGGTTGAACCTCAGCACGTCGTCTCGACCACGTCTACACCGAGTTGCTCCCATGTGGTCGTTAACAAGCAGGCGTACCTAATAAAATAACACGTGAATGTACACTTCACATATTTGCTGACTTTAAATGAAAGCAGAGCGCGTTTCCACGCAGTGAAATGTGCTCTATAAATAAAGCTGCCTTGCCTTGAATGAATCTACTCGCAATGTGAGCATCAATCGAACCAGAAACTTTTTATTTTGGGAAACACTCACAGGATATTTTCAGTGTTTTTCTTCTCCACCTTCCTTTTACTCAAAAAAAAGCATATATACAATGTTACATACGCGCCTCATTACTGAGTGAATTTAATTACAGCAAACACGCCAACACATTTACAGAGCAAGAAGCAGACGTTTCCTTTTCTTTCTGTGCCTTAATTAAATTATTATTTTTTCAGTTATTTAAAAAGAAATCTCTCTGCGATAATTATGTTCATCTAAACCTCGCAAAGCGGTGAAATTTCTCCATCTGAATAGAAAAAAAGAAGAAGTCTGAGCACCGAAACTGCAGCTACATTTGGTAACATAGCGGGTAAATGTTGGAGGAGGAGGACAGCTGAAGGATACAGCTCGAGGGGGGGTTCATGACCTCACGCATGCTCGCATTTTTCTTAAGTTTGTCATCTCTACATGTAGATTACAGCGCGTTCGCACTTGCGCAGGTCTGAGGTGATCTTTAGACCGTTCACAAACACAAACAAAGAGCAGAGAGTGGAGGTAGTAAGCAGCAGGGAGGTTTAATAACTGACTGTGGATTTTTATTTCCTGACGTATTGTGTGCCCTTTGAAATGGTGATCGAGCAGAGATCCTGTGATAAGAACGACCGAGCAGACGCTGCTGTCACTCCGGCCACTGAGGGGGGGAGGGGATGGGGGTCAGAGCAACTGAGAAGGGTCTGGGGATAAAACAACATATGGCGGAGGCCTCCTGCTCAAAAGCTGTTAAGAGAGAGGTCCTTCTCCCACTTCCTAGCTAAGCTGGAAAACAACACCCAGACAGGCAGACAGAGCTGCTGCTGCTGCTACAACTCCGTCTGGAGAATGTGAGCCATCCAGATAACAGATACACAAAACCATCGCTGGATAATGTACACACACACACACACACACACACACACACTCACAATGAGCTGCGCTCTATAATCTGACCTGCTGAACTGACTCCAGCACTCTGCCCGGAGCTCTGCCAGCCAGCCAGCCAGCAATCGAATCTGCCATGTGGATGGATATCTGAGAAGTGTGTT